AAGAGACAGTATATATTAAAAGGGGTCCTGAGTTCAGCCTTTGAGAATGAAATGTTCCACTCAATAACATATGCAACTTATCCTGTAGACATTGGCTCAATTCCAAGAGAAAGCTTCATTTCATTAGAGGAGAGACTGCGTGGCTCAGGTTTATAGATTGTTAGCATTGGCAGGATTCTCATTGCCTCATGAAAGAAAACCTATACCCCTTCATATCAATGTATGAAACTCTTAGAGAGTAATAGCTAGTAAGAATAGAACAGTATATTCTCTGAATTTCAAAAATGAGAAATTTAATTTTCATTATTAATGATTTTGAAAATTGCATAGAAACTTAAAAAGAAAAAAAAGTTTTCAGGTATATTAGCTGTTACATATGTATCGTATATGTTATCACTGCTACTTTTAAAATGTTTACAGTGTGGCCAGAATTGGCAAAATAACAAGGTAAGACCCATGGAGAAAGTTTTGACTGAATATTAGAAAGAACTTCCTAACAATTGGAGTGTCCTCAATAGTCCTCCAGGGATGGTATGACAAGATCAATGGAAAAAGTACGATTTCTAACTGTCAGTCAGGGAGATGGAAGAGTTCCCTCTAAAATTATTATTCAATAATAAAATCTTATTCATTTTGAGGTGCTTGTTATTGACATCTGTATTATGTAAAGATCATTTATTTATATTTGCAGTTATTTGTCTTTTAGAAAACATTGTTTCAGAATATTTTGTAGGGAAATTTATCATATAAAGCATACAAAATGCATATATAGGTGAACTAAACTAAAATGACTTAAGTAATTTATGAATGAAATATTGAGTATGAAATTTTGGGTAACCTGAAGTTGTATGAATTTCTTAGGCAGCATTTATCTCTATCTGCCAGTTGTGGAGGTGGGATAGGGTAGTTCAAATTGGATACCAATGGACGGTTCTCAATATCAGCCTATGAATAGAAGACACATTGGTAAATTAATATTTCTCAAGTTGGAGTCTTAAGAATATGCAATAAAACTGAATTTTCCAAAAGCCAAAAGGCGAAAAAACAGGAACAACTTTCAATGCCATAATATGACAGTTTTTAGGCTTTATAGTGCATAAATTTTTGCTAGGCAAAAATAATGCAAGGCATCCACAAGTTGTAAACATTCAAACACATTGATTAATGTGAGTGTACACAATACCTCATGCATTATACTTACTGAGTAAATTGTAACTCATTTAATATTTTAATGTGGGAAAAATTCACAGAAACACAGTAAATATTTACATTTAAGTTATGTTGTTCTTTGCTTTACCTCTAAATGCCTAGAGAGAGTGCTCATGGAGGACAAAATCCAAAATGACTTTTATGCAACAGGTTTTGAGTATA